GAGTTGATCTGCCGCGCACACCAGCTGGTCCAGGAGGGCCTCAAGTACATGTTCCAGGAGAAGAACCTGGTGACAGTGTGGTCGGCCCCCAACTACTGCTACCGCTGCGGCAACGTGGCCTCCATCCTCATCTTCAACGACCAGCTGCAGCGGGACGTCAGGTGGGGGCCAGTGCATCGCGTGGGTGTGCGCGCGTCGCTCGCGTCGTGGCGCGGGGTTGCGCGCCCGCGTCGTGCTTCTGCCACAGCGCTGACGGCTGAAACCGAAGGCTGCGTCAGGTGCCCGCCGCGCGACCGCCCAGGCCCAGAACACCTTGTTGACACCTTGATGACCACCACTACAAATCACCCTACGCACCATACCGCCAGATACTTTACGGAGACCGCCGAAAACTCCACCATGATGGCGCCACGCACGGCCGCGCGGTACTTCTGGTGACGCCCTCGCGATGGCTGGCCCCCTATACCTCGCCGGTCCCCGCGTCTCTTCCTCTGGATTTCTTCCTGCCCGCCGCGCCGGCTACGATGGCCTGCGTGGGGTGCGCTCTGCCGGGCACAGTGTGGCCCCAATGCGCGTCTTGATCGAGCCCTGCCCAGCTGGAGCGACCGAGGCGGCGCGCGTGCGCCCGACCGATGCTTGGCCGCCGCTTGCACCTTCCCACTGTGTTCATACGCCATCAATTGGTGCGTTAGTGGGACTCTCTTGCTTAGCTGGAGTCATGGCGGTTTCGCCTTTTTGCTGGAAGCTTTCTGGCGCTGGCTGCGTGCAGGGTGTCTCGCGCGCACCGTCAGTGCACCCGCTTCGCTGTGAGCTTTCAAGGCTTACTTTACATGTAAAGGCCCTAACCCTTCAACTGCCCGTGTCCAAGGAGTGCAACAGGAACAAAGTAAGTTTTAGCATGTGCTCCGACACATCAAGCTGCAAACAATCCAGACTGAGCGAGTAAGGGCCAGAAAACAATGCGCTTGAGGAGCACACAGTGCAGGTTGCCATGGCAGTATTAGCAGCAATGTCGTCCCCCCAACCTATTGGTGACAGGCCTGCTCACGCGTCGGCCACTAGGAAGTCGGCCGGCAGCGTCAGGGGCTTGCCGGGCTGGAACGAGGGCAGGCCGCGGTAGGGACAGCCGGCGCAGCGGAAGGCGTCGCCGAGCGAGCACTGCGGCGGGGCGCGAGGGCGGGGGCGCGAGCGCGCCGCGGGTTGGTCACTGGCCGACAACCGCGATTCACAGCCAGCATGCAAGCGCAGCACATGCTGAGCCCCGTGTCAGCTGATTCTCGCAACACATCAGCGCTCCTGCCAGCGTCCCACATCTAGCGCCCGCTCACGTTGCCGCACGACCCCGCGCCGGGGTTTTGGAGCATCTCCTGCGTCAGCTGCACCTTGATGCCCGCGGCCTCGGCCTCCGCGCGACCGCAGGTGCAGTCCTTGCAGGCCTTGCGGCCCGCCTTGCCCACCTCGCAGTCGTCAGCAGAAATGGCTGCGCGGGCCGGGCGTGTCGCGATTTTATAAGGGTAGTTGTGCGCGTCAGGCAAGGCCGCTGGCAGCGCACTAGCGCCCCATCCGTCCTCATCATCTTCAAGTATGGCCGAGGCCAAGGACTTACCGGGAGCCGGCCGCTGCTTGTCCTCCTCTGTCAGGAGCTCCTCCTCGTCCACTAGCTCCTCGTCGTCCTCCCCATCATCCAGGGCCAGCTTCCACGCGCCCGAAGCAGGCGCAGGGGCAGCAGCAGCAGCCGGCGCGGAGGGGGCCGCCGCGGGGGCGGCTTCAGCTGTGTTGGGCTTCCTCAGGGCCGACTTGGCGCCGACGCCCCATGAGGGCACGCTGGCCGTGACCTGCCGCCGCAGCACAACAGATGCGGGAAGGTTACGAATCAGGGGTTGAGCCTTTGGAGCAAAGGACACACCCCGAGTCCAACGGTAGCAGCCCTTTGGCAACCGCCCCTGCGCAGACGACAGCTTCAAGTCAAACAGACGCGCCTGGCACGCTCCGGTTCCATCAACCAGTGCCCCCCGTTCTGAATGCTGCAGCACGCACCGCAGAATCACCCGCTGCCTGGCAGTCGATAAAACCGCTGAGCACCAGTGCGCTCTTGGCCTCGTCCTGGGTGGGTCCGGATACAAGTCGTTGCGGTAACAGCATTGCACATTCACAGGCCAATGGGCCTGCAAGTTCGCAGCAGAATACATCCCCCACGCAACAGCCCGCCATGATGCATGCATGCGGGGCGTATGCAGTGCTGGGGTGCAAGGCACATCGCGCACCTGCTGCGCGACGCCGCCGAGCTGCACAGTTGCGCGTGCGCCAGGCTGCAGCAGCTTAGCCACGCCGCCCAGGAATGAGGGCGATATAGACGCCTTTCCGCTGCCGCACGCAACCACCGCGCCGCTGTACTTGAGGCCTGACGAAAGCACGGCATCCAGAGAGGCCTGGCCAGTTAGCAGGTGCACGGCCTGCGCTCCTGCACCGGGTAGTGCATCGCTGAGGATGCTGCCGTCAAGCACCGGCTCTGCGGTGGCGAACAGCGTCCGCTGCATGCCTGGTGACGATCTACGCGCGCTGTATGTATAGCTGGGCAACCTTGAAGATGAAATAAGCGGAGGCTGCAGGTATTTTGCGAATACATCACACATGACGCCGTACCCTACTTTCTGCCTGCCCGAGACCAGCCCCCGACTTCCCACTGACCATTACCATACTGCTGTCACCCTGGTGAATACTTGAGCCCTAGCCGGGGAGCCTGAGGCACCTATTGATCGGCGAGACTGTATACACATGGTTTGAAACGGCTGCTAGGGCCTGCAGCAGCGATCTGATCGTTTACTATCGCCTAGGTTGAGCAGTCAGAGGCCAGGGCTAGCGTGAGAGAGCTAGACGGTGGCGCGAAGGCGACCATGGACGGCCACGGGACGCCGGTCGAAAGGGCGGCGCGCGTCGGCAGCGCCGTCTTGACGCCCCACTCTGCACCTGGGCACAAGGGCGGCAGCAAGCGCAAGGGCATGAAGCGTTCGTCCAGCGTGAGCGGGGTGCTAAAGGTTCACATGTGGCCACGCAGTTGCAAGTGCGTATGAACCAACGCCGGTGCTGGCGCCGCGTCACTGCGAGTGCTGCCGGCCCCTGCCGCTGGGGGGGAATCGTGCGGGATGATGAAAGCATCTCCGCCGCCACGTCTGCGCCCACAGGCGCCCAACTGCAACAGGCCTTCCATTCTGCCCATCAAAGTCGGCATCTGTGCAATGGACAAGAAGGTGGGCAGCGATGCGCTAGTTGCGCAGGTCTAGGTTTTCGCGCGCACAGCACTGGTGCTGCTGCACCCGCGCAACCTGCTGCATGCTCAGGCATGCAGCGGAAACACCACATGCATGCACCACGGCGGCTGAGATGCCACTCACATGCGCTGCAATCTCACAACCATATTTTTTCCTGCACCACCCCTTCATCTGCTGGCACCAGGCCACGTCCAAGCCTATGCGCGAGATCACAGGGCGCCTCACCCAGGCGGGCGAGTTCGAAATCATTGTGTTTGGCGACAAGGTGCGGCAGACGCACCAGATGACCTCCCTGGGGCAGCAGGCGGGAAGGGTTGCTTTGGCAAGGGCCGCCTTGTGTGAAGGCGCATGCATGGGGGTACCCATGCGGAGCTGCACACGCACCCCGCGCGCACGCCATCTAGCGTGGACGCCCTGGAAACCCCATGCGCTCTCGGCTTAATCTCATGCGCAGATCATTCAGGAGGAGCCGGTCGAGAAGTGGCCGCTGTGCGACGTCCTGCTGAGCTGGCACAGCGACGGCTTCCCGCTACGCAAGGCGCAGGCGTACGCGGCGCTGCGGCGGCCGTTCATGGTGAACGACGTCGGCATGCAGGACATGCTGCTGGATAGGCGGCGCGTGTACAAGCTGCTGCAGGTGAGGGGTGTTGGGTAGCTGGAGGGAAGCTGTGCTTCGCAGGGGTGCAGAGGGGATAGACCCAGGTGCTTCACACGCTCTAGCCAGGCGTCGAGGGCATCCAGGGTGGCAGGCAGCACTAGGCCTCCACAGATGGTGCTGCTGTGTGGTGGGGGCAGCAAGGAAGCAGTTGCTGCAGCGAGCAGTGGCAGTAGCAGAGCAGGGCCAAGCATGCCAGGGCCCGTCCAATCGGACGGGGCGACGACGTCAGCGGAGACCTGCCTGCAAAAGAACGGACAGACCAGGCAGCGGGGATGCACAGCCTAGGGGTAGCAGCTCGCCCCCAACCAGGCAGGCACTCATGCGTGCCCCCGGGGTTACCCAGGGCTGCCTCAAGCTGGGTGGCTGCTGCGCCAGCAGCGCCTGCCCTGCCAGGCCCCCCCCCATCGTCAACACCCTCTCCCTGTTCAAAACCGTACACCTCAACCCACAAACCCCGCAACCCCCCAGGACTCTTCCATCCCCGTGCCGACCCACATCGTGGTGTCCCGCGACCGCCTGCCGCCTGGCGAGGCGGACCCCCCCGGCTTCCTGGAGGGGGAGGACTACGTTGAGCTCGACGGCGTGAGGATAGAAAAGCCGTTTGTGGAGAAGCCCGTCAGCGGGGAGGACCACAACATCTACATTTACTACCCCCACTCCATGGTGGGGCGCTGGAACGGGCCCCAGGGCAGGGGCGGGGGGCTGCAGGGCGGGGGTGCCGGGACGGCGCATTCGGCAGGGGCGGGGTGCTGCGGGCAGCTGCAGGGTGGGCGCGGCAGGGCGCAGAATGTTCGGCGAGACTTTTGATCTTGCTGAAGCGGGGACTGCTGTTCGTATGTCTCTGTAGGTGGGGCAGTGCTGGCGCGACCGCCGCGGGAGCCCTTTGCTCTCTCGCCGCCCCAACCACGCACTCACCAACCATCACCCCAACCCAACCCGCTTCCCTCGTCGGGCAGGGCGGTGGCGTGAAGCGCCTCTTCCGCAAGGTGGAGAACAAGAGCGCCGACTACGACCCCAACCACCCGGGGACGGTGCGGCGCCTGGGCAGCTTCATCTATGAGCAGTTCCTCACGACAGGCGGCACGGACGTCAAGGTGAGTGCTGCCATGGCCGGCAGCTGCCTGCAATGTTGAGGGACCGCCGCCCTACGGGGCGCTGCGTCGACTGCGACCTGCAAGGGGTGCCGTCGGAACGCCGCCAGCCCGCGGGTGGCTGTGTCTTCCCTCAGGCCGTGCTCTCTGACGGTTGGGTCGGGCCCGCGTCCTGAGGTGCCGCTCGGCCTGATTTTGTGATGCTTGTGACGCCGGACTCCGTTGCTTCGGCCCTGCTTGTGACCGCCAGGTGTACACTGTGGGGCCGCGCTACGCGCACGCGGAGGCTCGCAAAAGCCCCGTGGTGGACGGCAAGGTCAACCGCGACGCCGAGGGCAAGGAGGTGCGCCCGCGGCGCGCCGCGCTGCGGCGGTGGGGGGGGTGACGCATGAGGTGGCGTGTGCGGTGCGGCTGGCGGGACTTGCCACGTGACGGGCAGTGGCCCGGGCACGCTTCGCCCCTCAATCACCGCTCGAATTTCCCTTCCACCTGGACCCTTTTTGCCTCTGCCTGCAGGTGCGCTTCCCGGTGCTGCTGTCCCCCCAGGAGAAGGAGATCGCCCGCATGGTCTGCGCCGCGTTCGGCCAGCGCGTCTGCGGCTTCGACCTGCTGCGCAGCGAGAACGGCCGCTCCTACGTGTGTGACGTCAACGGCTGGTCGTTCGTGAAGAACAGCAAGAAGTACTATGACGACACGGCGGACGTGCTGCGCACGTGAGGGGCCGCTGGGCGGGCACGTATGTGGGGCTTGCAAAGGGAGCGGATCCGGCGAGAGAGGGGGTGGGTCCGGCGGCGAAGGGAGCGAATGCGGCGGCGCGTTGTTGCTTGTGTCAAACGAGGCGGGTGGGCGCGTACAAAGGAGGGTTCGTGGCCTGGGAGCTTGAACGTCCGGGGTCGTGGGAGGCAGAGCGCGCGCAGTGCAGTGGCCTTTCACGCAGGTCGTACCGACGCACCTGTTCATGGGGCAACGAGGTCGCCAGAGCCGAGGCCGACCTGGCCGCTGACATCATCGCGCGGAGACGCTGATCGCGACCCCGCTCGCCTCCCCACCCCTTCCCCCAGGATGATCCTGAGCCAGCTGGCCCCCCACCGCCTGGCGGCCATCATCCCCGAGCCCCTGCGCCAGCTGAGGCTGCCCGAGGAGTGCGGCCACGCGCCCGAGGAGGGCTGCAGCTGCGCGGAGGAGCAGGCGGCGGCGGAGGCCGCGGCGGGCATGCGGGAGGTCGCGTCGCTGCAGGTAGGCCACCACGCGCAGCGGCGCGCATGTGAAGTCGTGCACCCACATAAGGGCCGCAGGGTTGATGCTTGAGCATGCTGGCTGGGCAGAGCAGCGGATAAAGCACATGTTTCCCAGCCTCCACCCTCAAGCCTGACCTGCGGGGCGTCAACGCCATCTTCTGAATCCCACTTCACATATACATGCACACAACGCGCACACACACGCACACAACCCGGACACATGCATGCACACGTGCACAATGCACACACACCGCACACACCACAAAGCAGGACATGGCGTCTATGGGCGAGGAGGAGGCGCTGGACGACGACGACAGCAGCAGCACCAACTTTGGCGGCGAGCCCAGCAGCAACCGCTTCCTGGAGCTGCGGTGCGTGCTGGCGGTGGTGCGGCACGGCGACAGGACGCCGAAGCAGAAGATGAAGATGCCGGTGACACAGGTGGGAGGGAGTTGCCTGTTGCGCGACGCGCTGCCCACGGGGCAGGTTGTTTGGCCACATTTCTTCGCGCATAGAGGGAAACCGGCTGGAGTGAGCTTTTTGTCTACCGCGTGGTGAGTGTTGGCACAATGGGCGACTGCAGCCAGAGTGGCACAAACCAGCGCCCTGGCGTGGCGGCTGTGCTGCCATGCGCGCAGCACAGCGTTCCCTCACCTCCTGCGCGCCCCACTCACTTTCACTTCCAGCCTGCCATGCTGGAGCTGTTCAACAAGCACAAGGACTCCAAGGGCAAGCAGGCGAAGCTCAAGAGCCCGCTGCAGCTGCAGGTCAGAATGCCCGGCAGCCCTCCCTTGCCCGCCCCTCTAACACCGGTGGTGCTTAATATTGGGCGCGCTGCTCGCGCTGAGCGCTGTCCATCTCTTGCGTTGGAGGTGCTCCGCGTGCCGTCCGCTGTACACCCTGGCTGTCTTCCGACGCCTCCTGGCGGGTGCCGATCCCAGAAACTTCATGCTGCGACCGACCACCCACCCACCTTTCCTGCCACCCGCTTTCCCTGCCCCCTGCCCCCAGGAGCTGCTGGATGTGACGCGCCAGCTGCTGGCCGACATGGAGCGCCAGCAGAAGGCCGCCGCCCGCGGGCCTGACGGCGGCGCGGCCGGCGAGGAGGAGCGCGACCAGCTGGTGGGCAGCTTCCCATCCAAGGCCAAACCCCAAACCTGAAACATCTGCTGCATCTGTTGCGGAGCCGCAAGGCCCCCGCAACCCCTGCCACCCCTTGGAGCTGTTTTGCACTCCCTCGAAAGCACTCGAGTGCTTGCCTTGTCATACGCTCCTTTACTAGGGATCCTGGGAGGGTCCTCCAGCCATTCCCAACCAACCCCGACCGCCCACCGACCGCCGCCCCCGGTCGCCCTCGATCCGGCCGCGCAGGAGGAAGCCAGGGAGAAGCTGCGCATCGTGCGCACCGTGCTGGAGCAGGGCGGGCAGTTCAGCGGCATCAACAGGAAGGTCCAGCTC